AAACATGCACAACTATGTTTTTTTCTTCCAAACTTGCATTTATATTATTCAAAACGATACTTATAAATATCTTTATGACTGTTTTTATATCTGCTGTGGTTTTGAAATGTTTTCATCAATTCATGTGTTCCCAGATACTTTACTGTCAGAGATGTGCACGCGTCGATAGCCAAACCAAAAACTCACTCAAGTGTAACGAGGGCATTGGGGTAAATATTGTTACAATAAGACAAGGTATCTGAAAGAAATATGGCAGAATACGGCTAGTTGGTATGAAACAAGTCGTACATTGATGCAAATGTTGCGCTTTTAAGAATTCATGTCAGCTTTAATGATAGTTTCATGCATGTAAGCTAGATTTTTGATTTATAGGATTAGTTTATTCATCAGTTTTAAGAAAAAGTGAGGAATCATTGCTTAAATGTAATTCATTAATGTTTTACATGCTTAAATATAGAATATCCAAGGTTGTGCTCAAGATGTGGGGGCCAGGGAAATTCCCCATCTGTAATTACTTAATCTCCCTGTCATTCTGGCATTGCTTCCTCAAACCCCACTAGAGGAAGAATCCAAGACACCCTTCCACTTTTGAAATGTCCCCTTTCTATTTCAGTTCTTATGGACAAACCTGAATACCTGGTCACCTTAATAAAGATTTTAAAGTTCAAGAATCATGCATATATCTCTGGTCCCCTTAATGATGGGTTAATGCATGTAAGCTAGATTTTTGATTTTTAAGGATGTTTTATTCGTCAATGTTAAGGAATAGTGAGGAATCGTGTTGCTTAAATGCAGAATACCCAAGGTTGTTCTCAAGATTCAGGGGCCAGGTAAATTCGCTGCCCGTAATGACATAATCCCCCAGTTATTCTTGCATTGCCCCCTCAACCCTCACTAGCAGAGGAATCCAAGACAGCCTTCCACTTTTAAAATGTCCTCTTTCTATTTCAGTTCTTATGGACAACCCTGAATACCTGGTCACCTTAATAAAGATTTTAAATTTCAAGGATCATATATATATCTCTGGTCACCTTAATAATGGGTTTTATGCTAGATTTTTGTTTGATACATTTTCATTCACCAAATTGTACCACCAATTTTTTTCCTTTTGAGTTTTGCAGATCATTGTGACATTCTAGATGAAAATTGGGTATTTCATGACCTTAATAAAGATTTGTGAGTTAAACGAGCACTTGTATGAGGGTTGTCCAGAAAGTTCTTAGACAAATGCTATAATTTTCTTGATATTGACCACTCTGCCAAATGTTTACAACATAATTTTAATATAGACCATGATTTAGTAAATATATAAAATTAAACAATATACACTATTTCACAAAAATTATAAGTGTGAATAGATTGTATATACAAGCTGCACAGCCCAGTATGACATTAAGTTAGTTTCATGATAACGTCAAGAATATGGATTTTGAATTTTTAGCTCACCTCAACGAAGTTGGGGAGCTTATGTAATACCGTCAGTGCAGGCGTCCGCATCCCAGGTTAAAGTTTTTGGAGCAGATTTCTTTTCAAGTACAGTCAAACCTCGTTATCTTGAACTCAAAGGGACAGAAAATACTTTTAGATAACCAAGGATTTAAGATATTCAGGGTAAAATACTTAAGGAATAAGCAGATGGGACTTCAAAATATAACTTCGACATATCCATGGTATTTGAGATATATCCGTGTTCAAAAAACAGAAGGTCAGCTGTACTTCTATGCCCTATATTAATCAGAGATGCATGAAGGATGCTTCAAGTATGTTTCATTATACATGTTATACCAGTCAAGATTTCAGATGCTGCAAATTCAGCTAAAAGGAGCATTTCCAAGTAACTATAAGCCCTATATTGACCAGACTTGCATGGATAATACATATAAGGATGCACACTACCGGACTTGCTTCAATTGCTGGATCTGACCTACATTTTCCAGATGAGTGACCAGATTAAAGTTTTTTAAGCAGGTTTCATTTCCAAGTAACTATAAGCCCTAGGTTGAACAAACTTGTACAAATGATACATCTTAGGATGCACACTATACTTGACTTCCTTCAGATGTTGAATATGACCTACATTTTCCTTCCGGATGAGTGACCAGGATAAAGTTTTTGGAGCAGATTTCATTTCATAGTAACTATAAGCCCGGTGTTAACCAAACTTGCATGGATGATACATCTAAGGATGCACACTACTGGACTTGCTTCAGATGTTGGATCTGACCTACATTTTCCAGATAAGTGATCAGGTTTAAAGATTTTTAACAGGTCCATTACCAAGAAATTATAAGGGCAATCTGGACCAAACTTGCATGATGATGCATCATGGGATAAACACTCTCAAACTTGCTTCAAATGGTGGATTTGACTTACATTTTCTGGATGAGTGACTAGTTTAAATTTTTTAGGTAAGTCCATTCCCAAGTAACTGCAAGCCCTATTAGACTAAAGTTGCATAAATGTTACATGTAGAGATGCAGACTACTAGATTATTAGTTTAGTGTGGGACTTTGCCTTACTTAAAGACAACATTCGTTGAGGTGAGCTCTGTTATCTCTTATTACCTATGATTATCAAGTATTTGTGGTGCACATACAATTTTTTCTTGATTTAGCCACATGCACTGCTAGTGTGTGTGTGATATTTACATATAGACCATAACGGAGTAAATTTTTAAAATTCAATAAACGATAATTTAAGAGTATCATCAGTATGCACACTTCCTGTATATGGCTGCAGAGCCCAATCCGGTGTTGCGTTTTATTTATTACACATTATTATGCTTCCTGTCAGTTTGTCTCTATATAATCAATGCCCAACTATTTTCCCATAGTGTTCTAAGGAATTATATATCGTAAACATACTATGCCGAAATAGCTAGTGCGTGGCTTCTTTTTCTGAAAAAAATCCAACAGCTCCCACGCCATGGATCGAACTCACGACCCCGACATCATCAGTCTGACTCGCTACCGATTACGCCACAGATGACATTGTCTAAAGCACTGTATTATAATATATATAAACTTAGTTTCAAATATTTTACACTTAAAGAAAAAAAAATAAACAAATTAATTTTCTAAAATAGTTTCTTGCAATTTTTTCCCCTTCACTCAACTAAAATTCTCTGAAACTACATGTATCTGTACATGGATCATTCAAAATTAAAGAAAAAAGATATTAATGTACATGTACTCTCCTTTGAAAAATCATATATACAGGGTGTTTCATAATATATGTTACATTTTGAATCTTCGATTTAACAAACACAAGGAAAAGATACAGACAAGTGTTTTTATCATTTTGGTGCATGTATCCATAAGATTCATTACGTACAATTACCAACTGGAATATTAAACAGTGGACAAAATCTCAAACATGAATGAAAATTAGCCAAATTTCTAAATTAGGCCATTTTTGTTACGTTGAATTTCACAACGTCAAAAGCCTACATTAAATGTTCTTAATGATCTCCACTTTTTTCAACTACACATGAAAGTTGCTTCTCGAAATTTGTATAACCTTGTCACACATTTTTGTTTATACACTCCTCATTTGAAGATTTATGCTTCTTTTGAGCTCCTTCAGTATCTGAGGTCTAGGATTGTATACCCTGTTCCTAAAGAACCCCTACAGAAAAAGGCCTAAAGACTGAGATTGGCGAATGCAGAGATCAAACTCTTTTCTTGGGGTATTGCATTATTGAAAATTTTTGTACGCTGATAACTTCATATCATATTTCAAAGTACAACATATGCTGATATTGCAAGCATCAATTTCTGAAAACATCCATCTGAGACTTTTCTCAGGAGTTTGCTAAACTATCTAAGAGTCTCCACTTCACCAATTAAATCTTCGGTTCTTAAATTTAGTCCTTAGGCTTTCTGGAGTACCGTGTCATTTATCGCATATTGCCCGTCCCTGTCCTTTAATCTTGTTACTAGTCTTCTGATGAGCATTCTCAAAAGCTTATATTCTTTTGGAATATTTTCTTTTATCAAGAATATTTGCGACATGTATTGAAAAAAAAGCTTTACAATTCAGCAATATGTTGATAAGTTTAGTCCATTAAAAAAAATCAAATTACGACATCGGTGTTTATGTCACAATTAATCATTGTAATAACATGATTTCCTTGACTTTTTCACATGGATCAAAAATGCAGGATTTGATGTTTAAAATGGTATATAGTTTGAAATAGAAATGTCATAGGTAAGAAAAATAATTAGATTTAAAAATGTAACATGTATTATGAAACACCCTGTACCAATTTCAAATCAATGACCTAAATATATCCTAATAATTTTTAGATGTTTGTCAATGAATAAATAGTTTGTCTCTGACATCGTTTCAACCATATTTTAGATAATACATAATTTTATGATTGGACGCTGTTCCATACGGATGGCCGACATCGCTTTTTCTGTCAATTTTTGAAACATATTTGTTGCAGTTTTTTCTTAAGGTCAAGAATTAGTAAATGAAAGGAGCCTACAATTTCTTTAATTTGAGAAATAGATTCCTTTAATGACTATAACTTGGTCAAATAAGGTGTATTGGGGCATAACTTTTAGGTAAACAAGATTAAAAAAAAATCATATTTTAAGCTGTTATTTTCAGTGAAAAATTAAGAAAACCTGTCATGAATATGGGAGTTTTTTTCCATGTCAGACAAAGGAAATGTATCCAGATTGCCTAGTATACTGTCTCTAAGAAAACTGTAATTTGTATGTTCTTAGCCTTTGAGGTAAAAAGTTTAATTTAACATGTACCATATAGCTGAACTCAGACAATTAGTCACCAAAATATTTGTCTATTGATGACAGGAAAGTTCTTGAATTTCTCTGCCATTGACATTAGGTGTGTAACAGGAAAATGCTGCATAAGCAAGAACAGGATTTGAACCCAGCCCTCACTAATCAGGTGCTTTAGCATGTTTATTAACTGAGTGATCTGGCGATGGGGATCAAGCCTGTCTGACCGCCAAATTCCTCCCTCCTTAAATTGTATTTGCCCTTGAAGACACAACTCAAGTTCTTTTTACCCCTGGCAAGCCTTTTACCTGCAAGTCGAGGGGTGATCAATGGCACCAAATAAATATGGGATGGACCAAACCAGGATTTGAACCTAGGTCCCCTGAATCACTAGTGTAAGTTTCTTTTTAAAAGGAATAACATTTTAATACACATAGTAAATTAGAATTTCATTTTTTTCAGGAAATGGATAAAAAATTGGTATGTGTCGAGCAACTATAGCCACCTGATAGAAGGGTAAATTAGAAAGTTCAGATTACATTATGCCAACAGAGATGATAACAATGCCAACCAAGCTAAAAGTTGTCCAGGTTAGAATTATTTTTTTCAATAAATTACAATGTATGTACATTTAATATTTTCATATCAACTTACATGTATGAAGGTTGTTATTTTTTTATATACCTGTTTTGTAGGAAAACTTTTGTATTGGAGACAAGACAAGTTAATGACTTAATGATAGACTCACTGCAGAGAGAGATGTTGGAAAAGTGGATTTTGTTAACAAAAGGAAGATAAGGTAAAATATGAGAGGAGTTGTGAGTTTTGTATGACACAGTACTATTTGTTAACCAAAAAATTAATCTGAAAAATCTTGAGAAATTTAACTAAAGAAAACTTCATGAAAAGGAGCACATGCACATAAGGGGAAGCAACCTATTGAAAATTATCTTGCAGCTGTTCTCGGGTCAAAAAGTGATTTAGGATTAATAACTTGTATGCATATACATGTATATAAGGAAAATCTACATAAGAGAAGAAAGGGGATGCATCTAGATAAACAATTTTATTTCTCTATGTTAAATAGCTGACATTGACTGTGTTCTTGATTTAAAAAAATACGTACATATATGTTGGGGTAACTTCAACTGAATGTTAACATCTACTTTAGTTCATCGAAACTTGTGGACAGGATCATATGATCCTGCATGTACTATTTAAGCCTTGATTTTTTTTTTTTAACTTAGATGCTCAATTCAGCTTTGACAACTGAGTGTGTTGAACATCATTATCAAAGATTCCATTCATTTAAGATTTTATGTTGGTTAAGAAATGTGTCATTTAGGGAGATTTGTTTTTTATACATGTGCGTAAGTTATTTTGTAATTATTTTATAGCAAAGTAAATTTTTCAATTATGATTGTTCTAAGTTTTAGAGATTAATAGAGATTTTTCTTTTCTTTTTTTTTTTTTACAGATCAAGGCTGCCAACCTTTGAGAGATACACTTCAAAAAGAGTGTTTAAATTCAAGAAATTCAGTCACAGTACTCTGTAAATATTATAAAGTAAAAGTTATTTATTTAATTTGGAAAAGCATTTGAGGATGTGAAAAAGACTTTGTCCATTTCAAGCTATCTGTTGTCAAGTACCAGGAATATGTGGATTTTATTCAACAACTTTATTATGAATTTGAATAGCAACTTTCAATATCTGGAAGCTTTTTTTATCAGTAGGGATGTAGATGTGAAATTATATAAAAGTTATTTTTTAAAAGATATTAATCAAGAAAATTTTTGTAGATTAATAACAGGTAAAATTTGTAATGATAGATCTTTTATTGATCATTTGCAGTAGTAAGCGACAGTTGTTATAATTATACCCCCACTCTGAAGTAGGGGGGTATACTCATTTACCCTTGTGTGTCTGTCTGTGTGTCTGTCTGTAACAATTTTTTGTCGCAGTTTTCTCAGCAACTACTCATCAAAGATGCTTGAAATTTTGACACTCTCTTTGACTAGGCATGCCATATTGTGGGATTCATGAGAGTGTATATTCACATCAGAGCGGGGGTATTACTAGTGAGCATTGGCTCACAGACTTCCTGTTTGCTGAAGTTTGTGTTTGACTTTCATGTCTTTAACATGATATGGCTTAAGGATATGCACAGTATAGTTTGAACTATATTTTCTTATTCTCTCTATAATTTAAGAAATCCAGTAATTGAAAGATCTTTGTGCAATTTTATGATACCTGGTAATGCTTGCACACCTTATCTGAATCAAATTTTGAGAAAATACCACATAAAACATTTTTTTTGGGGGGGGGGGATTTTTCTTTTAAAAAATGCAAGGGTTTTCATCATTTGATATTTTTTTTAAATTCCTGATACATGTAATGTATGCTGATTTTTTTGTCAAAGAACACCTAATGGTATCGTGATTTTCAATTATATTTTCTCTGAAAATTATCAGTTGGAAGGTTCACTGTAAAGTGCATGTACATTGCATATGACCTTAAAAATACTGTGGTGGCAAAAGACAAGAAATTTTTTTTTTTTTTTCAGTTTTGGTACATGTACTATATTATTATTTCGTTAACCTGTCAATTTTAGATCAAATGAATAAAGGTTAAAAACTATTATTTGACTCTTTGTTTTCGTGAGTTATCTAGAGCAGGCTCGTAGCAACAGTTTCAAAAGAAAAAAAACCCAAACTGACCAAAAGTGGGGGGGGGGGGACTTCCTGAAATTATCTGACAAGCAAAAAAGAAAAGGTGATTTACTGTCCAAATCCTGGAATTTGCCAGTGCTGGACCTTACAACATCAAAAAGTGTGTGTGGGGGGGGGGGGGGGCATCCAGCATCTAAAGGGAAACTTACTATAGCAAAATACTATAACTCCCACCCCCCGCATTCTACAGGCCTGCTAGATACATCTAATAGTCTATTTTAATCAACATGTGAAAGCAAATTTCAAATGCTTTATCAACTAATATAGATAGATGTATGTTGGAAAGGACCAAGAGAATTTTGTAATTATATACATGTATATTATACAGCAGACCATATGGTCTGAAGTTGACATTAAAAATTGCAAAGTTGTAGAGTAAAATCAAAATTTGTGCCCCAAATTTTGTGATGACAGTGGCATTTTTCTTTTTAAAAAAAAATTTATGAGTTTAAGTGAGCTTTAATGATTTTTATCTCACATGAGCTGAAAGCTCAAGTGAGCTTTTATGATCACCTGTTGTCCAGTGTCTGCCCATCTGACTATCCACTTGTCTGTAAACTTTTCACATTCGACTTCTCAGGAACCGCTAGGCCATTTTTAACCAAAGTAGCTACAAAGCATCCCTGGGTAAAGGGAATTTTAAAACGAAGAGCCAAGCCTTATACCTCCAAAGAGGAATAATCAAGACAAGGCAGAAACAGGGTAAATAATCTCAAGAACCACAGGACCAGAAAAGCTGAAACTTACGTGAAAGCTTGCTAAAGGTAGTGTAGATTTCAAGTTGTTTAAATCATTTCCCTGGGGTAGGATAAGGCCACAATAGGGGGTCAAAGTTTTACATTGATATATACATTTATATATAGATATATTCTTAATTAAAGTATATATAGATATATTCTAAAGTATATATAGATATATTCTTAATTAAGAAAAGTTTGCTAAATTTTATCTTTCCTGATGCAGTGATTCTGGAGAAGATTTTATATATATTTTATATATATATATATTATATATATATATAAAATCTTCTCCAGAATCACTGCATCAGGAAAGATAAAATTTAGCAAACTTTACTTAATTAAGAATACATCTATATGGGGGAAACAGCAGGGCCAAAGTGACTCAAGGTGAGTGTTGTGGCCCAAGGGCCTCACATTGTAAAATTCATGATGACCGTTACAGACATTGGACAGAGGATGTTGGGTCTGTCTGTTGAACATTTTTTTTTACCTTATATGATATGTGGATTATTCTTTCCTCAAAACATCATATTCCATATTACTTCAAAGGTAGAAAAAAAAATTATAGAAGTTACTTGAATTAATCATTGCACATTCATATTATACAGGAAATGATGTTTGGCTATGTTTTATTAGAGATGTTTCTGAATATGAAACGAATCTGAGTCGGAGGGATATCGATCCCGATTTGACAATGAACAAGTGTGATTACAGATTTCTTTTCTTTTATATATCAATCTGTAACTTGTATAAAAGGTTTAATGTGTTTGTGACACCCCCCCCCCCTTCAAAAAAAAGAAAGAAAAAAAACAGCACCATAAAATCCTGGGAGTAATAAGTCCATGATTTAAATCGTATATGGATGTTATATTTGTACATTACCTGTAGCAATGTGGAAAATAAGAGTTAATGAAGTAAGCTAGATTTATTTCTTCTTGGGGGCTAGGGAATGTGTTTGAAATGTCAAGGGTGAACCAGGAATTTTATTTAGGGCGGGGAGGGGGACATACCAATAAATTCCCACAGGGAGATAAATAATCGCCCTTTTTCTCCGACTCGGAAAATTTTTTGACAAAAAAAAAAATTAATCCAAACTCTCTACGGACGTGAAAAATCTGTGTGTGGGGGCTTGTCATGCTTGTGTAACTCTCCTCGACCAGCTTACGAGGGGTCCGTCTGTGTTTCCAAAGGAGGGGGTGGGTGGGTTGGGGAGGGGGCTGGCAAGTTCATCTTTGCTAACTATATTACATACTTGTAATTTAATAACTGAAAAATAGGGGGCGGGCTGAACTACTTTGACACCTTCCAGGCCCGTAGGAAGCAATTTCAGTTTGGGGGGGCACAGCCAAACATTTTTCAGTTGACAGTTGAGGGGGCACTACCAAAAATTTTCTGACAAGCAAAAAAAAAAAAAAAAAAAAAGGTCGTCAACTACCAAATATTCCTTGACAAGCAAAAAAAAAAAAAAAAAAAAAAAAAAAAAAGGTCATCAGGCGGTTTTATTGAGGGGGCACATGCTTATAGTATCTATGTTTACTGTAGTAATCTATATATCGGCAAAATTATTGGGGGGGCATGGCCCCCCCATGCCCCCCGGTTCCTACGGCCATGCCTTCCACCGCTTGATCGCTACCGAACGTTCTCTCAGTTCAAGTCGTCGAAAAATAATTGCATAATATCAGGCCCGTAAGAACTGGGGGAGACATGGAGACCAGCCCCCCCCCCCCCCCTTCCTTGTAATTTTACCGTTATATACTACACAATATAATTAGATCAAAAATATCAAAATTACGGTTATGCCCCTCGTAAATAAAGTTTGTAGACTTGATTTTTGTTCAGTTGCGCCCCATTTCCGTACTGTAACTGCATCATATAGATCAGCCATGTTACATACATGTACTACATGTAGTAATAAGTCTCTGTTTAATCCATGTGAAAGCTATGAGTTTTGTATTATTTTTTTTTTTGTTCAACTCACTAAATATTCGTTCCTTGGGAGAACTGTGTTCTTTGAGATTTTAACAAGCTACATTCTTTGCCAATCAAGGATATTCAGTGATTTAAACTAAAAACTTCTAGACATCATGGAAAATCGCCTGCGAGAAAGTGGCGAAGGGGTTGCTGAAAAAGTTATTTATCCGACATAATTTTCAAATACATATATTAAATATATAAAATGACTCGTATGTACACATTTACACAAATTATTTTTTTTAAGAGTCCAGAATACGATTCTTGCAAGAAACAAATAATGTAAGTAGGTGAATAATATAACAACCATACCTTTACGAGCAAGATTTTCCTTGAGTTGAAAGGGTACCTGTTCTGTTTTTCAGTCTATAGAATTTGACTTCTCCGTTACATAACACCCCCATCCCAATGACAAAAATATAAAAGCAACACTGTATCCACTATTTTTTCAATGGCATATTAACATTGACAATGAATTGCGGCATTAGAGACCGAATGTTAAATAAAATGTACACAAAAAATTAAACTTATTAATTACTTGTATGGCAATTTGTTTGTAAAATGAATATAATTAAAATTATTAATTCATGTGAAAAACACACACTCAAAAAATGAAATAGAACTCGTGTCATTTAAAAAAAAAACATGCCAAAGAGCTGACGTGATTCCACTACTAAACAGGGACTCGCCCTTTCCATGATAATGAACACGGAGTTCTATCTGGTGATAATTCACATTTGTTTGATTTTGAAGAGCTGAGAAGTAGAAGGCAACCGGAAACAGAAACGTCTTCTTATTACATGAATTTTACTCATGTCCAAATTTATCAGCCACATGATTTTCCACAAAAAGAAAAAGCTTTCACTTAGTTCAAATTAAATTTATAAACCCCCTTCACATGCGTATATTTACAGACAGGGAGCAAATTTTACATACATTCAAAATTTGCACCTTGATGTATTTTAGCGAATGCAAACGGGGGGAGGGGGGGGGTTAAGCAAGTTTTGTACGCGAGTATTTTTACTCCTAGTGCAACATTTACATCTAGTCAGACTAGGTTCAAATAAACTTTTACATACGAGTAAATTTACTCCTGGTGTAATTTCAGTCATCTTAACGCATAACAAAATTTAGATAAGAATAGAAATATTGCATATTATCTAAAAAATACAGCATCAATTGATTTCATTGAAAAAACTAGAAAGTCCTAACAAGTATATTTACGAAGTACTTCGAAAAAGCAAACTTCATGATCATACTGATGTATATACAAATGTCGCTGTCCGTGATAAAACTACAAAAATTGAAAAAACAGTTTGAGAGTGCACGTGCACCCATCGCAAAAATAAGAGTAAATTCTCCATCCATTCATGAAAAGTTTACGCCCATAAGTAAACTAGCGCATGTGAAACTACTATTTGCAACTGTTAAATAATTGTGTACCTCTAAAAATACCCATTATTATATATTATACATTTCAAAATTATAAAGACCAATAGCGCTTTTGAATTAGATTCAGCAGGAAAATGAAAAAAAAAAAATCATTGATGCGAACACGTACTGTTGAATTGGGTTCTTTGGATATAGGAAAGGGAATTTTTTTTCTCCAGATGTTGTGTGTTGTTTTACTAAAATTTACCTTGAATTTGTTACAAAATTTTATTTACACACGTTTTTCTATACATTTGCTACCTCCAGGTCATCGCTCCACGATTTTAAAAAGTTATTTGTGTGTATCAAACGATTGACATTAAAATTTTAGATCCCTAAAAGCCTTTTCTCGACATATTCATCCATATTTTGTTTTTAAAAACTAGAAATAAAATTGCAGTTTTGCTAAAAATTTTATTTGAAACATTTTTGCGATCGGACAATTCCCTGGTGTTTGGAAACATACTCATGTGATTTCTGTCTTTAAAACAAATTCATCAAGTTAATTACATACCGGTATCCTTATTATGCTGCATAGGAAAATCTTTGAAAGAATATAATGTTCAAATACTTTGTAAATTGTTATACAAACTACATTATGGCAGGTGCGTAGCCAAATAAAAGTGAAGTATACGAAGAGGACGACGGGGGTGGGGTGGGGGTTAATTTCCAGTTTTCACAAAAAACTATATTAAAAATATTATCAAATTAGCATGGTTTAACTATGCTACAACAAAAAGTGGATGGGGGCAACCACCCTTTCAGTGAA